TTTAATCAAGCTGTTCTTACTGTTTATCAGCTGTTCTTACTGTTTTTATCAGCTGTTCTTACTTTTTTTATCAAGTTGTTCTTACTGTGTTTTATAAGCTGTTCTTACCGTTTTTATCAGCTGTTCTTACTGTTTTTGTTTTAAGCCTGTACTCTGTATTTCTGTAAAGCACTTTGTGATTTTATCTATGAAAGGTGCTATATAAATAAAGTTTACTTACCAACCTTTTAAATTCATACTGTGACAACTTTCTGCTCCATTTACTGTAGCTTAATGTTTTCTTGTTAACCCACAACCAATATAACCTGTCACTCATGTAGAACTTAACAACTTAACCCAGTTTAGTTGAAATAAAACGGCCGTAAGGCTCCATAAAACTCACTGCATGGAAACAGTGGAGGGCATAGCAGAAGGTAGCCTGGAACCGCTCTCCACCAGCTGAATGGCTTGTTTCATCTCCATCTTGTGGTAGAAAGCGATCAGCTGTGGCTCTTTGGAGCGCTCGCCTACAATCAGGAAGTTCTTCACATATTTCTTGTTGAAGCGGTTCAGTCTGAGAAAAAGACAGGAGTAAAAAATTATACTGGAGGGCAAACCAGGTTTTAAGTGCTAAGGACAACACAAATTACTGCAGGTTGACTAATTCAATTCAATTCTGGATAAAAAAAAAAAAAAATCATAATTCTTGTTTAGATTACAGAAACTAAAACATAATCTGAAGAGTGTAGCTCATGTCCCTCATGACTACAACTGTCTAAAGTCAAGTTGAATAAATCCTTACTTGTCCTTCCAGTGGTGATGTCCATAGTGTCCACAGATGTCCTCGATTCCAGTCAGTAAGTGGTCAAGAAACTGCAGATTAAAAGTAGATAATGTGTTGAAGAATCAAAACAAATAAGAACTCTCTCTGAACTAAACAGGGCTCAAATGTGTTTTGTTTGACCTTTACATGTTTACCATGTTTCAAGTGTTGAGTGTAAATGAAACTTGGAATGAATCCAATTACTCTTGTTTGATGTCTATAAAATTCTGTTTTTTAGAACAGTTACATGATGGACATTTAGTTTGTTTATTAGTAGGAATATAAGTGACACTTTACGTGGGTATATCGTGCACTTTTTTGCTTCACCAGTTTCAGGCCTCGACGGTAAAATAACACCCACTCAAGAGAACCAGCCTGCGTCAGTTTTATGAAAGCAGGCAACAAGTTTTAAAATAGAAACCATGAAAAAAAAAGCAGATGATTGACTGGACTGAGCTAACACTTTCTGCCATGAAAACCAGAGAAATGCACAGGTGCGCTTGTTGTTGTTCCGACTGCAGCTGACCCGCAGATCGCCCCGGTGCTCTCACTACGCCTGCACATGACAGCCAGACCGGAGGCGTTGCTATAGCAACACATCATTAAGCAGAACCGCAGACGTATCCAACTCCGCTTCGACAGAGGTGAGTGATTTACATAAAACTGCACTTAGTTGTCACTGTAGACGACAAACGAGCTAAATCATTAAATCAAACAAGCGCCCTTTGATTATTACAAACATTTAAACTCTTTTTTTTATATATATATATATATATATATATATATATATATATATATATATAT